ATAATGGATGTGTGAGCATCTCAAGGATTTTTCGATATTCCATAATGGTCGGTGCCAATTTTTCAGCCATACATTTTTATTTTCTCTACCTTAATTGTACGAAAACAACTTACAATTAATCAAATAAAAAATAAAATATGAACTTTTATTACCGAGGACATCAAAAGCAATATTTTTGAGTAAATGCAAACGTAATTTCGCCAATGGCCCTAAAATAATGTTGATCTTCTTCCATTATTTTGAATGATATTTCAATGGAAAGAGGAAATATGGTGTATATGGTGTCTTTTGACCAGAAGTTACACTTTTTTTTTTACTTTTCTCTTGTATATCAACACTTATAAACACTTAGACACACACACAGAAATTATCCGCTTTGGGCTCTTGACTTTTTTAAACCTTAAACACAAAACCTTAAAACAAAGTGCATCAGGGAAAATGTTTGAGATTTTACAGTTACTAAAGAACGTGTTTAATATTCAACTATAGGAAAAAGTGCCTGGGCTACTTCAATTACGTTAGATGTAATCAATACTTAAAAAATAATGGAATCAGGAGCAATTTTTGAGATTTTCCAGGCCTACTTGAAATTCGGGTTCAGATTGCAACGGTCTCTGGTGAAATAAGGGCTCGAAACTTCCCTTCATTAACAAAGTATTCTTTACCGTTGACTAGCCAAATCTTTTGAAGGTTGAAGTTCATTGTTTTTTGTTTTCGCCAATTTAGTTAGCAAAAACAATTTTACATTTATTGGTGGCTTTGCTGACTGCAGAATTTGCCCTTTGCTTCTATAAAAATGACTACAACATTTTCCAACCCTTTTCTAACAACACTAAATGACCATATAAATGTATATTGAAAGTAATTTAATTTTCAAATGGTCTCCACATGCACCTTTCTTTAGTACAATGAATTTTTACAATACGTAGACTTCTTTTTATAACATTTTTTCTTAATCTCAATTGAAATGACGCACTTAATTGTTTAATGATAAATAATCTAAATCCTCAAATTTAACACAATATTGATACACACCTAAACAGATATTTTATTGAGATTATGGAATAAAAAAAACAAAATTCCTGAACAAAAACGAATCTCGAGTTTGTTTCAAACTCAATAAGCTCTTCAGTTTGCACATTACACTTTATGTCAGTCATTGAAAATTGATCTAATTACGGTACAGGAACGCCTAGTAAAAATCGTGAAAAACACTTCTCATACATTTTTTCAAAAAAAAGTCCTGTAATCTGATCGCTATGCAAAAAAAGGTCTGGCGCAGGACTTTTTTATACGCTGCCAATGCCAACGGACAGACGTCTAAAATGTCAAACTTTTATGCCATGTTAAAAAGTATCATGTTTTATTGACCTTTGAAGAAAAAGATTGTTTCAAGACATATCCCACAAAGAGACCGATTGAACTAAATATCGACAGTTTTAGTTATAATTTCGCCACTTCGCCACACTCACTATTTAATTAAACGTCTCACAAGAGTTTGTTAATAATCCTTTTGTGTATATTAAAAAGGTAACTTCTTCGGCCGATAACTTTATGGTCAATTTCTCTTTTCCCGAACCACCCTTGTGACTGGAAACCATCGTTCAAGAAACAATTAATTTTTTACTGAGTAAATTTTTCAAATGGCGAATTAAGTTCAAAATGGCGATGTCTAAATTTTTTATTGGTTAGTGTCTATTTCCTACCAACCCTACACAGCTGTTAATCATTTCAAATAAGCCGAATCAAAGATTTCCACGGTGAGTTTATCTTTATGGCGAACAAAAGAATGTAACTTTATATACCTATTAAAACAACTGCAACCCTCTCCCTACGCCCTCTATCTAGACGCCAAAACAATTAAAGAACAAATGCTAATGAGCCCTGCGTAAAAGAGTCATATTTAGTCGATTCCAATCATGCAGATAAATTCTGTACGTTATCATGACCAAAACTTGTTTGCGAAGACACTTCAGAACCTTGAGACATTTTTTACAACTTTAAAAATTATAGTTTACTTATTTTGGGTGAGAAAATTGAAAAAAAAAAAATAAAATAAAGGTACATCACAAGATTCACAACAACAACTCTCCATTTTTTCCAGTCCACATTAAATAAATTTAAAAAATAGTTGAGCGAGGCCGATGGTTTAGCTCCATCTTTATCCATTTAAGTAAAAGTAGAACTCTACTTCAAAGAGGAGATTTCTTTCGTTTCCTCTCACATACTTTGAAGCTGCTTAGTTTTCTAATTCTACTTCAAAAAGGAGATTTCTTTCATTTCCTCTCACATACTTTGAAGCTGCTTAGTTTTCTAATTAGATACTAATTTTATATTCAAAGGTATAAATAAGCCAAACATAATACAGGAAAACCTACAAGGTTTATTTCGTATAATGGATCTCTTTCCCTTATCGACTTAACACTATGACGTGCGGTCCTGACCTATAGTGGGATGTACAAAATTACCCTTATGACAGTGATCATTTTTCTATTTACATTTCTATGGCCGCTAAAGAAAAACCTTCATCTCAAATTTACCAAAACCTGGAAAGTGAAAACTGCAAATTGGGAGCTCTATTTCAAGAAAATAGAAGCCAACAAACATACATTTTTATCCAACGAACAGCGTAAATGAAAACCTTATGACCATTAATAACATCTTCTTCTATTGGGAAAACTAAAATGTGCAATAGACGCCATAGTGCCATGGTGGACCAAAGGAATTGCACAAGCCATTGGTGCAAACAAACACGCCTTTGACATATGGAAAAGGCACAAAACGGACACAAATGTTATAAATTTCAAGAGGCTTAGAGCAAAAATCCGACGTCTAATAACAAAAAAAGCAAAAACGATTCGTGGTTCAATTACACCCTCTTCTATTAACCCCTCTACCCCAATAGAAGTAATAGGAACAAAATTCGCAAAATACTTGGCACAAATACGCTCAGAATTATAAACACACTCTCACATAGCAACAAACTCATACCGTGTAAAAAGGAAAAAAAAACGCTCCTATAAACTACGAAAAGAATTCGAATATTGCCTAAGAAACCTAGTACCAGACGATATCCCTTATATTTTTCTGCAAAACCTCCCTCACACAGCCAAACAGATAATAATAGATTTATTTAATAATATTTTCCAGAAACACACTTTTCCTGAACTATGGACCGATGTAATATCTCTTACCGTCCCATTTCTCTATGACTATTAGACTATTAGAAAGTTTCCCATTTAAAGTTAAATAAATAAATAAATAAATAAATAAATAAATAAATAAATAAATAAATAAATAAATAAATAAAATAGAACCCTCCAAGGGTCAATCCTAAGTTTTACTCTATTCTTTATCGTTGTCAACAGAATCACAGGTGAAATGATACCTTAGCTTTAAATATAAAAATATTTTATATTCAAAGATTAAAGCTAATCTTTACGCCAACGGCTTTGTTATATAGATCAAAAGCAAAAACATCCTTCTACAGTAGTTTCCAAAATACTGCAAAGTTTCTTAGACGAACTGGAAAAATGGTCGCTCCAAACAGGTGAAAAAACACGCTACATAGGGTTTTGTAAAAGAAGAAATATGTCTTCCCTCAAGTTCACTTTGAACGGCTCATATGTCACACAGGTGCAAGAAATCAACTTCTTAGAACTCACTTTCGGTTCTGCTCTAACATGCAAATCTCATGTAGATAAATGGCGGTGATCATGTCAACCTAAGCTCAATTTAATTAAAATACTCTTTTATAGTACATGATGGAGAGCCAGCACTTAACTGATATAAATCTTTAATTAGAAGCAAACTAGGTTACAGCGCACCATGTGCTATGACTCAGCAAACTTATTTCATCCAAATATCAACTTTAAAACTAACCCGGGGCGCCTTTAGAACTAGTCCCCCAATTAGCCTCCAAGGTATAACAGAAGAACTACCTTTAGATTTATACTCTCGTTAAACTGGAAAATTCTCAGCAGCCCGCGACAACGTAGCTTTCTCCGCAATTTTCAAAAACAGAACTTCTTTAGAGCCTTACTTTGGCAAAACAAAAAAATCCCAATTCGAAACCATCCTCTTTGGACAATCAAACAGCCAAACATAGGTACATCCCTTACACACTACCAAAAAAAACACCACAAATCCGACCCTAATACAAAATGGCTACAGGGAAGTCATACACAAATATCCCATGTCCCATCAAATCTTCACAGATGAATCCAAAACAGAAAACAGTGACGCAGTGGCCATCGAGCGAGAAATAACCAAAAACGCTTACCACAAAGCTGTAGTATATTCACAGGGGAACAACGGCCATACTTCAATCCCTCAAAATATGCAAAGAAAATTATGTCCAAAATTAAAGTAGAACTTTTTAAACTGCAATAAAAAAAGATCAGGTTTATCTGGGTTTCGCCCCACAGGGAATCAAGGATAGTAATGAAAAATTTTTTTCACATGGGGAAAAAAGTGACACTAGCTCTTTTTTCTGTAGTAAGTACACGATGGATTCAAATTTTTCATTGTCACTCACTTTGTTTGAGTAAATTTGACTTGCGCTATGTAAATTACGGACTCATATCTCAATTTAAATTCAATAAGTTACCTCTATTGTTAGTCATGCGAATCAACTTCGCTTAGGTACATTATTTACATACATTAACCTTAAAACTGACTGGAAATGAATCACAATGGTTAATTGCAATTTTTTACAGCCCGGTCTTCAAGGCCACCAAGACCAGTCAATATTTACAATTTGCGAACACAGAAAACGATAGTTTTCATATTTCTAAAGTAGCCGCTCGACCTTAAATTCCTTAACCCTTCCCCTCTCATTTCCACCGATTGGCGGTTCTTCAAAATCTTCTTTGATAACGTGTAGAAAAGCGGAGGTAACGGTATAAATCGATGACCGAACCGGTACGAAATTCAAAATTTACATAATGATTACTTTCACATTTTATAACGACAATGTTGAGATTTATTTTCTGTTGCAGGTTGGGATTTTTCTCTTCGAGGTGCAGTAATAAAGTAAACGTGATGTTCGTTAGATAAAGTTTAATTACTGAACCCCTAAAGTGCAAATAATTAGCGGACTGTCGGGATTATCATCAATGTAATTGAGTTGAGAAGAGATATGGATGTTAAGTTGTGATTTTGGTTAAACTTCTAGTTCAAGACAGATTCAAAATGGAGACCGAAGAACTCATTAAGCTCGTTGATGGTATCTACAAGGTAAGAGTAGTATTATACTATTAACATTTTATGTGTGTCGCGCGCAAAAGGCGTGTAATTAAACGGTTTAGTATCATTTTTATTATTTATTAGGTAGGTAATGTGTATGATCCGCTTGAGTGTCGAGATGTTACGGTTTTAGTGCAATTGTAGATCTAGTTTTACACTAATTACGATTGTAACCCTAATCGTAGAAAGATCTGATTACATTAACCCGAATTCGCTCTTCCATTATAAAGGCGTCGTCGTCAGTTGTCAGGCGTAATTCGAGTACGACGCTCATTAGCAGTATTGCTTAGACATTATCGCTTTTTGCTATAAAATACCTGCCGATTATTTTCTCGTTGCGGAGCAAACACAAAAATGCGCGCAACATTTCACGGTTTAATTAAGGCACATCTAATTGCACCGTCTAGACAATGATAATAATAAAGCAAGAATATAAAATGGAAACTAATGGGGATAATTAGGATTAATTCTTAACACGCAGTACATTACCTTGCTATAGCACTTGAAAAACACCTTGTTCCATACGACCTTGAGCTTAAGTTATGTTTTTCAACGCTATAACTTTTTATTACTCCAGATAACAAAAAGGGGTGTGGAACGCATGGTTTCTATCTTTAGGAATGGATTTGGGGTTGTGGCACACTAAAAGCTTCCTGCCTTAAGGGGTGAGCCCTAGAAAAAATAATTCCCATTGATAACTGCCAAAATTTCCTTTTAAACTAGCACTCTATGAATTCAATTATTACCCTGTAGCTCTTGTTTTGTGCCCCAATTGCATTTGATTGATTTTTCGCTACGAAATAAGAAATATTTAGTTTTCCCGCCGATTTTCTCGACAATTCTGACACGTTTGTGCTATAACTTTTAATGGTAGTTATCCAATCGTGCTTTTTGTTAGCGTTTTGAATTTTCCAGTCTAAAATCTATAACAAAAATTGGATTTTATGATTGATTTCCTCGACTAATTTTTGAAATCGGTTTTTATTGTGTTAAGTTGTGGCCCAATAATTTGAAAGCATAAGATATTGTTCTGTAAACTACCCCACCCAGATGTTTTATTTGGTGAATACCAAATAAAACGTCTGGGTGGGGTATTTTACAGAACAATATCTTATGCTTTCAAATTTATAAATGAAAAATACTATCAGCCCTTAAAATAACGATAGCTCATTCTCTATTCTTGAATTTCATTTATTTTTAAGTGGGAAATGTTTGTCGCTAATTCAGAATGAACACAATTTCGATCATATTATTCAAACTTGAAGTCATTGTTGATTTTATTTATTTAATGATGTGTAATTTTTGTTTAAATAATCGAAGAGACGGACGTTAATCGTTGCTTTGTTTTTTTTTGGTGGACGTGGAAACAGACAGTCAGTCTTTATAATCGTAAAGTTCATTCTATAGAAGAAAGTTAATTGAGCGCTACGAGTATTAAGATATTTAAGTCATCGTACTAAAAATGAGTGCTTTAAAAGTTCTTTCCTGCCCGTTAAAAGGAGTATGTTCATCATCAAATGTTATATCAGTAATTAGAATAAACCGACTGCCGTCTAAATCGAAATTCAAGTGCTATAGTGAATGTCGAGGAGTGAAATGTCGAAGAATTTTCATGTGATGTTTTATATGAGTGCGGAAAATTCTTTACCCTTCGATTTTTCAAAAACTTCCACTGCAACTTTTGATGTATTGTCTTATCACTAGACTTAATTTACTAGCACTTTCTGAACTCAGCGGCATCCAAATAGAAAATCAGGCAGATTTTCGCGCACCATTGGATGATACTGGTAATCATTCACCCACTCATCCCCTTCTAAAAAATGACAATATGCACCCCTCATCTGGTGACATTCTAATCATACTAATTTTTATACCGAAATTGGTACGGCCTGTGTCTTAAAACATCTCATGATGTCTCCTTAATTATTCAATCATCCTCTTAAGTTTCCATTTCATCTTGGAATAATTTTAGTCTGACTTACCAATGCATATTGTAACGGTAGCTCTAAATCTGAATTACTTTTTTGAATTGCATAGAGATAGGTAAAGACTAGAGCAAGTTAGGCGCTACATAATATGATAGAACAATTACAGGGTGTCGAAATTAAACGGGTCGATTTCAAAATAATTTATGTGACTAGTGGAATTTCGATAATAAATCTGTAAGCGTCTGGCGGAATTGAAGATTATTCTGCGTCTTTTAATTTATGTATAGCACTGTTTTTATAATGCGTTTCGGAAGTCTGCAAACAAGATGTCGCAGTAACCAGAGTCAAAGTTGTTGTATTAACTGGCCTTATCTACTCCAAACCACTGAATGCACTAAATTAATTGCAATTGGTGTTGTTAAAACTTTAAAGCGAATAAATTATGACATTTATCAGTTCATCTACACAGAAAATGTGGATTATTGCGAAACTAAGAGGAAGTAATAATTAGCTAACGTTATCGTTGTGTAATCGCGTTTCCGTCGCTTATGGGAGCGTCATAGACGCGGTGAAGGCCAAATAAATTAAGCGCGCCAAGGTATTCTAGTTACCATAGGTAGCTATTGCTGAAAATGCAGTATAGTCGTTTGTTGACCGTGAAACGAAAGAGATCTTCGTACATAGTGAGATCCTGTTTGGGGTAATATTGAAAACCCTTGATGATAACGTCTCTAACAATGAACTTTCATTGACTTAGTTTTACGGGATTTTTATTCATAATTTCCAAAGGAGTCTTTTGTTTAATTAATACTGCCCGATTACGCATTTTTTAGCTCGTACTCTGGTGAACGAAACAGCGTTTCCTAACAAATTTTTATATCAAAACTTCTACGCCTGCTCAAAAGAATCATAGAGGGACGAATCGTCCATTTTTAACAACTCTCGTCGCGTTAACAGAAAACGAATCTTCTATGGCCCGTAGTTCTGTCAACGTGTCTGCTATTCGCATTGACTGTCTAAACACGTGTGCAAAGTAATCCCCTGTCTGACTTAATCAGCAATTTTTTAACGCCCACCAAATGGCAAAATGGTTATTTAACATGGCCACCATTCCTAGACAGCTTTTGGGAATGTGGCTGGCTCTCAATATTACTGAAGTGGCATTTTCTCAACCTTTTGATTTCCAATTGGGTGAGTTGCAAAAATAACAAAGAAGGCTAATTTACAGAGTGTAATTCAAAACCAGATTCAGAGAATTCCGCGACTCGTAATGATTTGTAACAATTTTCCTATTGATAATTGTGGGAAGATGAAATTTTGTTCCATTGGAAAAGAACTTTGAGGGGTATCGACAGCAGGTTGAAGACAACGAAGGCTCGAAGATTGCTTTGCAGACGGTGGTACAGATTTTTGACACACAGAAGGAAACGAGAAGTAAAAAGGCCCCAAAGAAACGACACAAATTACAACATAAACTACTACTTACGTACGAGGTGGTGTAGGCCTTAAAGGTAAAGACAATATACAGTGCCATTTATTAAGAAGTAGACATAGGGATTTACGTATATTGTTTTTCTTTATGTCTACTATTATAGTAGATAATGTATTAAGGGATAAAACAAGAGTATAATTCCCTGAGGGAACAGTAATACCCCGAGCGACGTAGTCGCGAGGGTATTGCGTTCCCCGAGGGGAATTATACTCCGTTTTATCCCGTGGTACATTCTACGTTTTATTTTTTATTGATAATAGTAGAATTGCTGATGAAAAGTAAATTAATTGGCAAATAAAAATTTCACATCTGATTCGCGTTGTTGCATATGGGGTTGGCTGCGACACCCATGTTACCTAGTTACGTATATAAACAAAAAAAAATGCTGCGTCCGTCATTTTGAAAGCAATTTTTGTGTCGTTTGGCTTTGTTCAAGAACGGAAAATGTTCGAAGGGAATGAAGATGATGATGTTCCCATGGGGGGAATAAAAGAAGCTGAAGACGCTCTTAAGGAGTTAGTGCCGGCGACTTCAAAAACATTATATGAAAACGAATACTCCAAGTTTTGTAAATTGCGATCGGAAAAATCCTTGAAGATTGTGGACGAAAAAATTCTTTTGGCGTATTTTAGTGAACGATCTAAGCAGGGAAAACCGTCTTGTTTGTGGACCTACTACTCCATGGTATTAAATCCATGCTGCGTGTGTGAGAGAACCTAGACATTTCAAGGTATTATTTATACACATTATTAGTCAAATTTAAACAATACTAAGACGTTCTTTTGGATTATAGTTATGGGCAATTGAAAACGTTTTTAAAAATAAGAATCAGGGATTTAAGCCCAAGAAGTCTAGATTCGCCATTCACTGTCTGAGGGAAATCTGAAAAGTAGGTACCTAGATGTATTTCAAAATGTTGTTTTACACACAATTGCTACCGACAATGGATCTGTATCACAACCTACAAAATGAATGAAGTTAAGTATCGTAAAAGAAGACCATTTTAAGAAATATAACATGGTTACCACCTATGAAATGTCATTCTCGTTCCTTCTGTAGGTTTTGACTTATATTACACAAATGACAGCTAACCATTGTGTTTGACTTTACCGTAAATGTCAATTAATTGTCAAAGTAGTCCTATTGTTCTGACAGGGAATTAGATTTTATAACTCCCGTTGTTATGACAGCGGGAATTATGGGTCTGTTTATGTGGCTATAGACTAGTATTTTAACCACCATGTAAATTATCAATAAAAAATAAAATGACAAAATCACTTCCGAGATCCCTTCTGAAAGGCGCCTAGTTTTAAGCAACTAAAATAATGTCTTAAAACGAATAAAGAGCGGGCCGTCATATTATTTAATTTGAATATTTAATTGTCGCTTTGGCTTTCTCTTCTAACTCGAGCCCACTTACCTGTTGACAATGCAGATAGTTGATAACAAAACCCTTGCAGCAAACAGACTCTAATAAAGTTGATAATTACATACCTCCATAAAAGGGGGTGTTGGTATCGAAATGTAGCAAATGCGTATTGATCATAAAGTGGCAAGAATTATTTTTTTGG